CTAGTAATTTAATGTTTATATCTACTATATTTTATGTACTTGAAATTGTGTTAACTATTTTTGATAATTTTTTGTCAAAATATTATCATTTTTTAATATTTATTTATTTAGTTATTTTGGCTGTGCCAGGTCTTAGTTGTGGCAGGCAGGCTTCTTAGTTGTGGCATGCATGCGGGATCTAGTTCCCTGACCAGGGACTGAACAAGAGCCCCCTGCTTTGGGAGCGCAGAGTCTTACCCACTGGACCACCAGGGAAGTCCCTGTCAAAATATAAATTGGTATATGGTACGCTATGCAAATTTTGTAAAATGTTTCTTTTGAGATAACAAAAGTACTCTATAGATCTTAGTCATCACAAAATTGGTATACCTGGACTCTTCTTGGTGGGTAAAATTTACACTGAATTAAACCTGGAATAAAATAAATATAAAACTGAAATAAAATGTAACTTTTTAATATGGAAATGTTCAGATAAAAATAAAAGCAGAGAAAACTGTCTAATGGACCCCCATGTACCCATCTCACCTAATTTCAACAATTGTTAATAGTTTGACATTCTTTTTTCATCTGTACCTTGTTCCTCATCTGTTTCTGGTATTGCATATCAAATCTCAAACACCATATTATTTATTCTGTAAATATTTCATTGTATATTGCAAATTTATATATATATATAAATTTTCATGGTACCATTATTTCACATAAAATTAGCAATAATTCCTTAATATCATCTACTACCCAGTTTATGTTTGTTGTTCCTGGTTGTCTGAAATATATCTTATTCTAATTTGTTGTTTGAATCAGGACCAAGCAAGATGCACACGTTGCATTTGATTGATAAGACCATTAAGTCACTTTTAATCTATAATCATTCCTCTTCTCTTGTTTTTCCATGCCAATGATTTGTTGAAGAAAGTGATTACTTTGTCATGCAATTTCTTATTATCTAGATTTATCTGATTGTATCTTCACATCATATGTCCCTTTATCTCCTCTATTTCCTGTGAACTGGTATTTAGATATAGAACAGTTAGTATATTCAGGATTTTTATATTTCTGATAGCAAGACTATTTCTTAGGAGGAGTTGTTTACTTCCCATTGCATCATATGATGTCTTTCAGGCTCACTTTTAGTGATGTTATGACTGGTCATTGGGTTTAGATGCTATCAGTCTGATCCATTCATCATAAAGTTTCCCTTTACCTTTTTTTTTTTAAAGGCTTTTTTTCTAGAGCAGTTTTAGGCTCATAGCAAAATTAAGAGGAAGGTACAGAGATTTCCCATTTACTCCCTGATCCCAATTTGCATAGCTATCACCCCTCTGGTGAAAGATGTTGCCTCTTTATAGCAACATCCCACATCAGAGTGGTACATTTGTTACAATTGATGAGCCTACACTGACACATTGTAGTCACCAAAAGTCCATAGTTCCATTAGCGTTTACTCCTGGCCTACATTCTACAGGTTTGTATAAATGTATAATGAGATGTAGCCATCATTATAGTATCAAACATAGTATTTTCACAGCCCTAAAAATCCTCTGTGTTCCACCTGTTCATCTCTCCCTCCCCTCAACCCCTAGAAACAACTGGTCTTTTTATCATCTCCATAGTTTTCCTTTTCCAGAACATTGAATAGTTGGAATCACCCAGTGTGTAGCCTTTTCAGATTGGATCCCTTCACTTAGTAATAGGCTTTTAAGGTTCCTTCATGTCTTTTCATGGTTTGATAGCTCGTTTCTTTTTACCACTGAATAATGTTCCATCATCTGGGTATGTGACAGTTTATTTATCCATTCAGCTACTGAAGGCTATCCCAGTAGCTTCCAAGTTTTGGCAATTATGAATAAAGCTGCTTTAAACATCCATGAGCAGGTTTTTGTGTGGACATAAGTTTTCAGCTCCTTTGGGTAAGTACCAAGGAGGGCAACTGCTAGATTGTATGGTAAGAGTATGTTTAGTTTTGTAAGAAACTTCCAAACTGTCTTCCAAGGTGGCTGTACCATTTTGCATTCCTACCACCAATGAATGAGAGTTCCTGTTACTCTACATTCTCACCAGCATGTATTAGTGTTGTCAGTGTTCTGGATTTTGGCCAATCTGATAGGTGTGTAGTAGAATCTCATTGTCGTCTTACTTTGCAATTCCCTGATGATATCTAATGTGGAGTATCTTCATGTGTTATTTGCCATTTGTATTTCTTCTTTGGTGAAGTGTCTGTTAGGTCTTTGGCCCATTTTCTAATCAGGTTTTGTTTTGTTTTGTTTTTTTAATTGATGAGTTTTAAAAGTTCTTTGTATATCTTGGATAATAGTCCTTTATCAGATGTGTCTTTTGCAAATACTTTCTGCCATTCTGTGGCTTGTCTTTTTGTTCTCTTGACAGTGTTGTTCGCAAAGCGTAAGGTTTTCATTTTAATTAAGTCAGTATATCAGTTATTTCTTTCATGGCTCGTGAAATCTCAACGTTTTACCACATGCTTTTAGCAGCTACTGATGAATATTCCCCTGGTCCTCTGTTTCATTAGAGTTGCAAAATATTCACCTTCCAATTCTATTATTTCTTCTGTATTTCTTAACCTAGAATTCTATAAGGAAGAATTTTTTTTTTATAAATTCTTTGTTTACTCTGGAATTCAATTTTTACAAGAAAGGAAGGATAAATTCTTGTTTATTTCTTTGTATTCAATTTATAATTTTCAGAATAATGAGTTGGTGCCCTAGCAACCCAGAGATATGATTTAAGTTTTAAAGTATCATTATGAACTCTCATGGGGTTTATTTATTTGATGTGCTTAATCCAGTTCAGTCATTGTTTTCACTGGTGATGTCCCCTAAAGTTTGCTGCTATGTTTTCATGAACTATGCTTATATTTTCATTTTTAACTTCATTGCTTTCTGGCTCAAAATTTCCTAGGCTCGTATAATACTTTGTGCTTCAGACTGTTTTTGTTTGTTTGTTTGTTTGTTTGTTTGTTTTTAAGGAGACTGGATCAGTGGGAAATGGAATTTAGAGACCATAATCTAGATGCTAGGAAGCTTACTTACTGGGTTGTTACTGCTCCTAGATCTTTGAATATTTCTTTTACAAGGGCACTGGATTTACCATAATTTTCATTGTATGCTCCTACTTTTAACTCCCGAGATTGTATATCTTTTTGCTATACAGAAAAACAGCATTAACACAATTCAGTTAAGTTTATCAGTCATTGGGTAGGGATATACTTTTTTCTAATCACAGTTGTACAGCCTGGTATACATGTTAGATGTTGGCCCTTGCTTTCAGGGAAGCACTGAGACTTACTGTTAGCATTTAATGGAATGATATGTAAGAAAATAAATTTTAATTTAATAAATCTAAAAATAAATGGATAAAATGCAGAGGTGGTACAAAAGAAGAACTGATTAATTCTGTTGGCAGAAGATGTTTAAGGAATGCTATGCATTCCCAGGGAAAGTAACATGCTGGGTATTAAAGGAAGGATATGAGTCTAACTGGGTGTAAGAAGATGAAGGAAAGGGACTTTTAGATAGAGGAAAAAGCGTATGAAAAGATATGAAGCCAGAAAACAGGAACAACAAGTAGCTTGCTATTTGGGGCACCAAGATTGAAGTGGAGAATGACAATAGATGAGGCAAAATCAGGAAAGTATTATATGCCATGATAAAGAGCCTATACTTCTCCAAAGGCAACAGGGAAATGCTGAAAATTTTTAAGTAGAAATGTGAAATGACCTAATTTGCTCCTCAGAATAATCATTCTGGCAACAGTAAAGAAAATGGATTAGGAGGGAAAATGTCAAGACAGAGAGACTAGGTCTTAGAGTGGTAAGTTCACTTTTTGAGTTTACAAACTTGCCTCTAGAATAGTACTTGGCATATAGTAGTAGGTACTCAATAATATCTGTCAGGTGAACAAAAGGTTATTGTATGAATCAAAAGAAGTTGATAAGTCTGAAGAAAAACCACATAGAAATAGAGCCTGCATTTTTGACAATACTACTTGATTCATCTGCTTGCTTACTTAGTATTTTATCTTAAGATTTTCACAAACTAAGTAAAACAACCCAATAGAAAAATAGTCAAAAGGATATAAATGGCAAGCTCATGAAAGGGAAAACTGAGTGATGACTATATGAAAATATGCTCAACTTCTCTAATAACCAAAGAAATGCAAATACCTTTTAAATCCCATGAGGTGGAAAAATATTTAAAAGTTTACACAAAACCCAGCCTTGAGCAGGATGTTAAAGTGTTGGGACATTTACAAGCTGCTGCTGGAAGTATAAATTGGTGAAACCACTGTAGAAAGCAGGTTGACAATCAGTATTTAGTAAGTCAGAAGATGCACATGCCATTTGACTCAGCATTTCCATTTCAGTTATAAACCCTAGAGAAATGCTCACACCTGTATAAAGATACATGTTCAACAATGTTCATTGCAGCATTATTGATTATACCAAAACTTTGAAAGTAACACAGATGTCTTCAGGAGAATGAATAAATTTTGATATGTGTATAACAGTATGATATTCTGCAGTGAAAATGAATAAGCCAAAGCCATATGAATAGACCTGAATAATTGTCACAAACAAAATACTGACTGAAAAAGCCTGCAAAATAATAATATAGTGGGATGCCACTTATATAAAGTTAATTATGCAAAATAATATTATTATATATATACAATAATAGATAAAAATACCAAATTTAAGAGCCTGGTTATCTCTGAGGAGGAAAAGCAAAATGGGATTAGGAAAGGTTACACAGTGGTCTTTAGCATATTTTTCTTTAAAAGAAAAGTCAGAAATAAAGCAAAATTAAAATTTAATAGGGTAGGTGATGTGTAGACAAGTGGTTTTAAAAAATTCTTTCTTATATATTTGAAATATTTCTGATGAAAAAATCCTCTGAGAATAGAGAATTTCAGAATTATCCTTGTTCCCAAAGTAAAATATTTTTCTAGCACCTAAATCCTTTTAACAGCTTTTTATTTTGCAGATTTGACTGATGAATTAGCTCAGAAGTTGTTTGATGTTTCAGAAATGTCTTCAGCAACAATGGCCTGTTCATTACCCACAGTAGTTCCAGAATCTCCTAGAATTTATCCTGCAAGGACACCCAAAACACCTCGAACACCTAGATTACAAGATCCAAACAAAACACCAAGATTTTATCCTGTTGTTAAAGAACCCAAAGCCATTGATGTAAAGGTACACAAAACACCAGGAATATAAAGCCTGCCGTTTGTATACTTCAACATTACAAAATGATACTTTTTTAGTTTCTATAACAATAAAAATAATGTATATTTTAGACTGCAAGAATTCATTAAAAAATGGTATTTTACCATAGCGATGTCTTCTCAGGTTAAGGAATAACTTCTTTACAATGGGTAGTGTTAATTAAAGACAATCAGGTGTAATGAGGAATCATTCTAAGTTGTATTTTTTTTAATCCTTGTGTTGAAACCTAGCAAAGGGTCTTGTGAATTTTTGTAACTTGTATGTGACATATTTGAGTTTTGTGACCTCGTATGATTTCATAATGTGTCACCCACCATATGAAAATATTTGAGTTGGTTTACAGTCAGAGGGTTTTTTTAATTTACTTGTGAGGTTCACACTACTGAAGGTAATTGGAACGTTTGACTTCTTTTTCCTTAGAGTCCAAGAAAGAGAAAAACAAGACATAGTACAAATCCCCCTCTAGAGTGTCATGTTGGTTGGGTAATGGATTCCAGAGATCATGGGCCAAGAACATCCTCTGTCAGGTACCGTATTTGTCAAATATTGCTTTGTTCTTGATTTTAAATTTGTTGAAAACAGTTACTAGTTAGATATTTGGGAACATTTAAGAATTAATATGTTAGCAAATTAATAGAACAAAAAAATAGTAAAAAGAAGCCAAAGAAGGGGAAATAAATGGGACAGTTTTACAATAAGTATATTAAGGAATAATTCAGTAGGACAGGTTTTTTGGTTTT